TGTCCCAGGTAAACGTATTCGTCAACAACTTCGAGCATAGTGCTCCCAACAACTACCGGCATAGGTGTGACATGGACATTGAACATGATCTTTGTTTTGTCCATGTTCATCTTAAGACCTATCCGTTGGGAGGCACTATTGAGGTCATTGAGCATAGTGCTTAAGTCCTCCAGCGATTCTGCCATAAGGACTATATCGTCGGCAAATCGAAGGTGAGTGATGTACTCGCCATTGATGTCAATACCGTATCCTTTCCAGTCCAGTAGCTTGAAAACGTCTTCCAATGCAGCGGTGAAGAGTTTCGGGGATATAACGTCACGCTGTCTTACACCTCTCTGCAGTTGGATAGGTTTCGAGCTCTGGTTCTGTACTCGGATAGCCATCGTAGCCCTACTGTACAAACACTTCAGCACTTCGATATACCGACAGTCAACTTGACACCGCTGAAGGGACTGTAGCACCGCCCAAATTTCGACGGAATCAAAGGCTTTCTCATAGTCCACATACGCCAGGCAAAGTGGCAGATTGTACTCTTCAGTCTTCTGTACAATCTGCCGCAGGGTATGTATGTGGTCTATGGTACTGAAGCCTTTTTCGGAAACCGGCTTGTTCGGGAGGCTGGAAGTCGTCAAGTCTGCGTGCGAGACGATTCGTAATGACTCTCGAAAACAGCACGTAGACGCGGCTCAGAAGGGAAATCGGTCTGTAGTTCTTTAAGAGAGCGTTGTCGCCTTTCTTAAAGAACAAGACCACCGCACTTCTGCTCCACGCCTCTGGAGTAGTGCCACCATGGAGGACGGAATTGAAGAGCTTCTGAAGGACTTCAAGTACCGGTGTTCCACCCGCTTTCAGAAGCTCCGCTGTAATTCCATCCTCGCCTGGGGCCCTGCCGTTTTTAAGGTGCTGGAGAGCCATTCTAATCTCGCTTAGACTGACGTCCGGGATATCATCGGAATAGTGTCGGATAAGACTTGCTCTTGGATCGTTACTCACACTTGCGTGTGGCTCCAACGATGATGTGTACAGCTGCCCATAGAACCTCTCAATCTCAGTCAAAATCTCAGGTGTCCCGGAAACGATGTTGCCACACTCAGTCTTCAGCCTTGACAGTTGGCTCTTTCTGGCAGACAGATCTCTGGCAAAGACTTTGGAGCCCCTGGTTCCGCTCGATCGCTTCTTTAATACGAGAAGTATTAAAGTTGCGTAAGTCTCGCCGTATGCATTTGGAGATCTGTCTGTTCAGTTGCCTGTATGCTGTCAAATCTGTTGACGATTGCAGCCTCATCTCCCGTCTAACAGCCATGAGATTAAGAGTGTGATCGGAGAGTTTTTGTGTTCTTCTGCGGCGGGTCTTGCAGAACTTAGCACCGACCGCATGGACAGTTTCCACGAGCTTGTCGTTCATATCGTCCACTGCATTGCAATCTTCTAGGCACTGGAAGCGGTTACGTAACTCGAGCTGAAATGTTTCGGGATTCTGGATTAGAGCACGAGGGGGACGGAGCGTTGACTTCATTAGACGAGACCTCTCCAACTTAACGTTTAGGTTCAGTGTGCCTCTAACCATTCGGTGATCGCTGCCAGTTTTCACCCTTGCGATCACTGAGACATCACTGAACAGTTGGCGTCTGGTCGTCATAATGAAGTCAATCTCATTTTTTGTCGAACCGTCGGGGCTCGACCAGGTCCACTTCCTGTGGGGCCGCTTCTGAAAGAAAGAGTTCATCATAAAGAGTCCCTCTTTCTCCATAAAGTCGGCCAGCTGCTGGCCCCTTCGGTTCCGTTGCCCTACTCCAAATTTCCCTACCTTCAGCTCACCGCTTTCTCTTGTGCCCAGTTTTGCGTTGAAGTCTCCCATCAACACCGTGTAGTAGGTTTTGGAGGAATGTATGGCTCTGGAAATATCCTCATACATTTCCTCCACCTCCTCATCGGGATGTGCCGAGGTTGGTGCGTAAACCTGAATGACCTTCAGCGAATACCGTTTGGTGATTCTGAGTATCAGGTACGCGACCCTCGTCGACACACTCCCAATCTTTACAACGTTGTTGACGAGAGATTTGTGGACGATAAATCCGACACCTCCTTGGGACAGATGGTCGCCCTCCCGGTGATAGAACAAGTTGCCGGACTCGAGGATTGCCGTGTCCTCCCCCTCTCTTCGGACCTCGGATAATCCAATAATATGCCAGCGCAACTTGTCTACCTCTTCTTCCAGCTCCAGTATCTTCTCGTCAGTCCTCAGGGTGCGTGCGTTATATGTTGCCAGGTCGAGTCGTCGTAGGTGGCAACCGAACCTCCAGCGGAGATTCTTAGCACCCCCTGCCCCGCCGTTACCATGGTCGCCACCGTAGCCAGGAATAGCGGGGCCGCCGGGGACTGGGGGCCGTCTGTTTGTGTATTTATTCATTGGGGGGGTATTTGCCATAGTTGCCACGCTTGGCGAGCGGGTTGGCAACCGCAGTTTTTTATTACGTCACAGTTGTCATCAGGAAGACGCTGCTGCCCATCTCCTGCCTGTCTCCCTCTGTCGCCTCTTACGACACCCACGGGAAGATATGGGGTAGTGGATATTCTTAACCGCCACTACACGGCAATAATAAATAACTTGCTATTTGCTAAGCCACAGCAAGACATTAAAAATGCTAAATTCAGAAAACTGTAAGATTAGGGCAAGACATAACTTTCAAGTCGGGTGCTGTTTATTTTCAATTCAAATATCAAACTCGACTGAGTTTCCCTTAATTGCCAATTACTCCCTTCGATCCTATTTCTGAGTAACTTTGTAGCGAAAATAAGTTTAAGAAAATTAATTATCAAGTAAGTATAAAAACAATTAAGTAAATACCGAATATGTATAAAATAAAGTGCTTAATAACTTTTTACTTTCAATCGCAACATATAATAACATTGTAATTTTTTGTAGAGTTTAAATATAATGGGTCTCTAGAAAAAGAATGGTAGAAAAGTCTTGTTTTGTTTTATTTATAGCAATACTTTTCATGCATATATTTTCACAAAAATGTTATGTTTTGTTATATTAAGTGTTTAAAGAAATCTTACAATAAAATACAGTATCATTCATTTTTCCCAACTCTGTTAATACTCGTATCTACAACGGAAACCACGTAAAGCTGTTGGTCCTACACCTGCTCTCTCTAAGGTCGTGTCGGATTACCGTTTCATCGGAAAATGAGAGTGAAGGGATCGAAATTACACCTGTGTTTGCGTAAAAAGTCGTCACACACATAGCTATTCTCCATTAAGACTGGCTGCCGTGACCAAAATTCGATCAGCAAGACATTATTATTACTGTAATAATCTATATGCATAACTTTAAAAATAGATACTGGCCATATATTATAAAGTTGACATATAAAGTATTTAAATGTCAATTTTGCCTTGGATCATCTGATTTCTGTATTATAACCTCAAATTGAGGAGCCATGGTAGCTTAGGGGCTAAGGCCTTGCTATACATTTCACAGCACGCAAGCAACCCGGGTTCGATCCCCGCCGGCATCAATGAAATTGTAAATTGCAATTTTAAGTTCTGATTTACACCGTGCTTGGCGGTGAAGGAAAACATCGTGAGGAAACCTGCATATCTAAGAAATATATTTTCGAAGATAAACCCTCTCAGAAACGAGAAGAGGCTTGTGACCAGCAGTGGGACTTATGTAGGTGGTAACTTTAACTTTTAAACTCAAATTAAAGGACAACTGACGAAGGCGGTAAAATTAAGTTAACTTTATTACGATAAATCCTCTACCCTGTGTTTTGTGTTAAGAGCAAAAGGCACGCTGAAAGCGGGAATAATAGTTGAGAGGAGGACATTGTGGACGTCTGTGGATTCCATTACTATGACGAAACAATCGTGGACAAAGATTAGAATATGCAACGAACGTTTGGCTTAGATCTATCGCTAATGGTCCATGGTGTTAATCATATATAAATCCTTACTCGACATGAGACATGAGAGACACCCAAAAAATTTTAAGAATCACGACTTCAGAAAAAAATAAATCTTAGGAAAGATCCCTCTGCATGTGTCAGCATAGCGCAAAAGATATTTGTGAAGGAATCTACCTTATCCCACCACCGTTAAAGGATTAGATCGATAACTTGTGCAGCAAGCATGTTCTATCCTACTTGCAAAAAGTTTGCTTTAAGTATCAAGCTGTATTTATTAAATTACAGTTATAAACATTTTTTGATACATATGCGTTACTTCATTTTCGTTTTGCTTTTTATTGCATGTCAAGTTATATATTTATCCTACTTGCAAAAAGTTTGCTTTAAGTATCAAGCTGTATTTTTAAATTTAAGTTATAAAACTTTTACGCTACATACGCGTTACTTCAAGTTGTTTTGCTTTTATTGCATTTCAAGTTGTTTTAAGAGACCTACGGGATTTACTACCTATTTTCCACGTGTACGTGGAAGGACACGATACACGGGTGTCTAAATAATACTTGTATAAATCGTGGCACGTATATTGTGATTCGATTTTTGTTACGTGTAACAAGCATAAAGTATTTGGGAGTTATTGTTGATGAAGAATTGTCTTAGCTGGGTGCTACAAGTAACCTGTTTTGCTCTAGCGAGTAAAACAAGGAGGCTAGCTTACATATTTGAATATTGACGTGCTGTGGCTGGTTATGATGTTCTTTTGCTAACTTATAGGTCCCTGTGTGAGAGCATTATTTCTAGTATTTGCGTCTGGCGTTAAGCAGCAAAGACACCTCATACTACTAGAGCGTGCGCAACGCGCCGTTCTAAAAGTTATTTTGCAATTTTGATAATTATTACGGAACCACTGCTTTATTTTGTCTCATACTGTATGGAGGTGACACGGCCAATTGTTGTACCATAACACATGTTCTTTGCAATTACAATTACTGTAAAACATATTCTCAACATGTTGTTATTACAGCTTTCAGTCTTTTTATATTGTACAATATTCGGAAATTTGAGTCCACCAATAGATTAAATCTAAGCTCAAGCCACTCGCTGCACTGACTTTTTACATATCTTAAATCCATCAGAAGTAGTTTCCTGACCATTTGTCATAGCGATGGGGTATCCGCTAGTACCACCGCGCTTTTCTTTGACATGAGACCAAAATGGTTTTGGATTATTTTGTATTGCGGCTAGTTGCTGACATCTTTCACTTAGTAACTTTAACTCAATTTCATCCCTAGGATTACCATATATTTAATACCGTTTTCTTGTTTTATTTTTCTCATTTAATGATTTTATCAAAGTTTTATTGAACCAAATAGGATACCGTTTGTTTCTTCTCTTGCTCATTAGGATATACTCCTTAATAAGTGTATACAAAACCTTATAAAATACTTTAACCATGTCGTTGACATCATTTAATCTACTAAACATCTCAATCCAATTAACCTCATTCAAATGCTTTCTTATGGGACCATAATCTGCTTTATAAAAATTACGCTTTTTATTTTTTAAACTGTAAGGAAGACATTTTTCTGTCGATAGTGATATAGTGATATCTAGAGGAGGGTGTATATGTTCAGTATTACTTAAGGACGTTACTGCTTGGGTTACTTCACACAAATTAACGGATGTAAGTACAATGTCCAATATACGACCAGTATTTGTTACGTGATTACATTGAGTAAGTTTATTAATGTGTAAGAAATCAATTAAATCTTGACTCATGGCTGGTAAAGATGCATGAATAGTGTTTGTATTTTTTAACATGCCCCAATTTATGTTACCTAAGTTAAAATCACCTAGTATGCATACAGGTGTGTTTATTTCCTCAAATACAGCGTTACAATGGGATACAAAATTGTTGATTGTTATTCTACTTACTGGTGGCGGTATATAAACAACACACAGTGCTATCTGACGTATAGTCTTGGTTACTGGAGCTTCAATATTAACCCATAGGTCTTCACATTTGCTTTCCCAGCAGGCGACACGATTAGATTAATTTTTTTGATACTGCTATCAAAACTCCACCTCCTTCCTTACCACTGTGGTAGGTAGAGTTTTCCCTATCTCTTCTGTAGATATCATACCGGTCATCAAAAAGTTCACCATTCAGCACTGAGCCATTTAACCAGGTTTCTACTAATACTATAATATCATAATTACTACAACAAACATTGCAAGAAAATTCTTTTGTTTTAGATCGAAGGCCTCTACAATTTTGAAAATATATTTTTAATCTATTGAATTTTACAGTAAGGATTTCCGAGTACATGCACAAATTATTCTAATATACATATTTTAAATATTACATCAATTTGTTTAGTGTTCCTAAATAATTAATAACTATATATTGTGATTCATCATTTTTTCTAACGTATATTTTACCACCCCCGATCCAAACGTACTTGAACCCTTTTTCCTTAGCCTTGATTCTGGTAGCAGCATGAAGTGCTTTATTGGAAGGCGATAAATGCTCAACAACATAAATCGCTGTCTTTGTTCCTGAAAGCCCTAGGTGAGAACTGTTTAATTTGTCAAAATGATTATTTTTATTGAATTTTATAATAGAGGCTAGAAATTGATCACGTAAAAATTGAGAAGATAGTTGTACAACAATAGAACGAGGGCGTTTGGTAGCAGGACTAATTTTAGCTTTGCGAGTGCAGTGTATAATATCGTTTTCTTTGACGGTATATCCTACAACAGCTCCCAACTTTTATATAATACTAATCAAGTTTTCATTTCTACTTTCTGGCACACAATGAAGTTCTAGATTATTTGCGCGCAAATGTTACTCTATTATATTAACACGTTGTTCCGCAGAAATAAGTCGCATGTTAAGTTTCGATACAATACTTTTCATTTTAAGGTTATCTTCAAGCAATTCCTTACTAGTTTTCTTAGCTTCTGCCTGTTCTTTCTCAATATCCTCAAACCTGTTATTTATGAAATTCATGGACTCATTAATTTCTTTCATTTCTTTTTTGATAGGTTTAAGTTCTTTGTTAATAATTTCCATTAAACTATTATTAATTTCCTTTAGTATACCACTTAATTCAGTTCTTATAACTTCTTGAACAATATTTTTTACATCTGCGCCAGTTAAAGCCGTCGTATTTGGCGGTGAATTTAATGCAGGTTTTTTAGTGCCTCTGCCGGTATTGATGTTACGCAATGGAGTTGAATCTAGTTTTGAACATCTGGGAGCATTGTTTTTACATTGGGGGCATTTCCAATTTGATAACACTTCAGTTTCGTTGATCCCGGTATGGACAGACAGGCTAAATTAAATGATTTATTAGAATCCATACAATCAATAATCTCCTCATTCTGTCCGGTCTCAATATTACAACATCCCCATTTACTCATCATGTATTTATTCCATTAAATTTTAGCTCCTTTCTGCACTATGTACGATCCTCGTAGAATGATATATTTATTACGAAAAGTTACTAATCTTTTAAAAATACACAAAAATTACAACTCGATGCGGCTCGAACCAGCTTTCTCGGACGTAGCGTATCAAGCACCAGAACCACAGGGCTAGCGTACTTAATTCTTACACTTTGAAGTTAGTAGTTACTTTGTTTATATTTTAATTCTATTCTTGTGGGGGTCATGTAAGCTTATAACTCTATAAGTACCTTCATCACTAAAAACACATCTTGGATCACTTTAATTTTAAATACCACGCTATAACGACGCTATAACATAACAGCATCAAATCAACTAGGCAATGACCAAGCGCACGAAGAGAAGAATAATGATCAAGGAAGCTCTTCAAATCCAAGGATGCCGCAAAAGCTTTTATTAAGATACGAAGCAAACTTTAAGTTCAATATCAAAGTTTACATTATGCCAACTCGTCTTACATCTTAGCTACCAGCACAAACCATTTCTCTAAACATCTGTCTACACCTCCAAGGCCTAGTTTTAGCAGATCCAGGCTTTAATCAGCCAGGAAGGATAGACATGATATTAGTTGTGGGCGTACGTGCACAAATTATGAAAAGTAACCAAGGGTCCTCCAGGCACTCCATGTGCTCAAAATACCAGCCTGGGATGGTTACAAAGCAATAGAGGCCAAATAATGATGTCAGTGTCATGCATCTTAATTTGAATTTAGATGACATGCTGAAGAATATGTGGGAGCAAGGTACAGAAGAAAAAAGAGCATTAACCGCGGAAGAAAAAATGTGTGAAAAAATATATCAAGCTACAACGCACAGAATATCAGAAGGACGTTATATTATAAAACTTCCAACAAAAATAAAAACACTTTTACCACCATCAGGAAGAACAAGATATATAGCACCAAGAAAACTGTATCAATTAGAAAATAAATTCGAAAAGGACCAAAGCTTAGAAAACGAACACAGAAAGGTGATGCAAGAGTATAAAGAATTAAATCATTTAGAAAGGGTACCAGAAAATGAAATTAACAACCCAGCAGTATACCTTCCTCATCATGCCGTTGTAAGGCAAGATAAAGAAACAAGTAAAGTGAGAACGGTTTTTAATGCGTCTCAAAATGGAAACAATAATATTTCACTAAATGAAGAGTTACTGGTAGGACCATAGTTGCAAGACGATATGAGAAGCTTAATAATAAGATGGCGAATGAAAAAAATCTGTTTTGTTGCTGATATTCAAAAAATGTACCGCCAAATTTTAGTTTCAAAAGAAGATAGATATTTACAAAGAATATTATGGAGAAGTTGCAAAACACAACCAGTTCAAGATTATCGTCTCATGAGAGTTACGTTTGGAACTGCTTCTGCTCCGTATTTAGCAGTAAGAACCTTGCATCAAGTTGCGGAAGACGAAGGTAGAGATTACTCTGATGCTGCCAGAATTATAAAGGAAGACTTTTACATGGATGACCAGATGTCAGGCAAAGACACACTTCAAGAAGCAATTAAAGTAGCGATGGAGATTGGGTCTATTTTGCAGAAAGGAGGTTTTACTCTTCAGAAGTGGTGTTCTAACAACGCGGATTTCTTAAAACAATTTGAACCTTCTGAAAGAAGTTCTCAAGTACACCTAGATATAAGGATAGATGGAACAATACGGGCACTAGGCTTACAATGGGACATGGGAAAAGATGTATTTAAATATAGTATACACTTACCTCCTATGGCTGCTACTATAACCAAGAGGACAATTCTAGCCGACATTCAAAGACTATTATACGTTTATTTCCGTAACGAGTTTTAAGCATAAACCACGACTGATCATAATTGTCTTCTGTTATGTGCTTCAAAAAAGATTCTACAATAAAAAACAAATAATACAATCTTTTAGGTCGGATTTTAAAAATAAATATAGATCTTCATAAATAAAATAATCTTCGTTTGCGAAATAAGGTATATTTTGCTTCTTTTCTTTGGGAACACATTTTACCAGATCTTGATGAGAGTTTTTTAAAGAATTCCAATACACTTCTATCATTTGCAGTCGAGTTACAATGTCACCTTTAGTTAGTCGCTGCTTAGAACATTTCTTTAGGTTGGTTTGAGACTTTTATAATATTAAGGCTGTATTTTCCAGTAAAGAAAATATTTATCCGGAGTAGTGGCCATATTTTTATAAACGTTACACAAATGTTTTAAAACAAAGTAGTTTCACTTCGATGACTCTAATATGTAATTATTCAAACGGTTGTAAAATGTCTTTTAACTCGCACAAGTCACACTCAGGTAAAAAGGTTCTTTTGTTCTCGGCTCGACCGCCCGGTCCGTCCTTTTGTTTAGCACTCGATAATTTTGAAGTCACAAGAAACACGTTGTTAAATCCGGCTCGATTATCGATCATATGTTGATAAAAGCTGTATTTCAGCAGCTTGCTTCAAAATTGTTTTGCGGCATCCAATGCCTGTAACTGTGCCTTTAATAGTGGTGCGTTTTAGTTTAAATGTCTGAGCAGCTCTTTCACTAATAATTGTGGCTTGTGAGCTATGGTATATTAAGGCACGTAGTACAGTTGCATGTCCCAATTGATCTTTGATAACTATGAGTGCTGTAGCCAATAATGCTGTGGTAGTACTAGTAGCAAAGTGTGATGATAACTGAACATTTGTATTAGTACTACCACAGCATTATTGGCTACAGCACTCCATATTTACATCCATAGGTCGCTGGTTCATATCCTGCTCGAAGGACCATATGTTGTGGTATTAAGGTTCACTATTTTTATAGGGACTGATCACAGAAACAAGGTGTCAATGGTACGGTGTTTTAATTGCTACTAAACATTCAATTACATTTTACCTTATTAAAGACCTCACTCACACATGCTTACTGTTTATCTTACATACACAAATGCATTACATTATTGCTCGAACAATTGGTAATATTAGTGCGACCACATTTAAACTCATTAAACCAGTTGTAAACAGCGGCACAAGATGGGGCTTCATCATGAAGGCTAATCAAAGTCTATGATAACTTTCTTGTTGACTTAAATGACATCGAATGTCATAAAAAATCATTGTACGAAAAATTTTTCGCATTAAATTCATGCTGATTTGACACCGACAATTTTAGATTTGCTGCCAATTCACAACACAACAAAATTTATAAAATAAGTACATGCATAATAACGTTGGCAAGGAGTTACATTTTCAAAATTTGAACTTTTGATTTTTTTTTAATATATCGTTTACAAGTGACCAGTTTTAAAAACTTTCAGTGTCGTCCTCGTATAAATAAACTATTACCATGACGATTCTGCCAATTCATTAAGTAGTTGTACCCATAAGTAACTTAACACAACTTTCGTCTTGTGTCATCGCATCATCTAACGGAAAGGGCCGAACATCTGCGACGATATATATGTATATATATATATATATATATATATATATATATATTATTGGATAGAAGGGTGACAAATGAGCACACAATCCACCTGATGGTAAGTGTAATCCTCGATCACGAATCAAAATGCATATGCGTTCTCACCCGAGAGGACTAAGATAGAATGCCTCTTTTCCAGTTAAAAGGGTCTTCGGTTCTCTCCACTCACCATAAGAAAAATAGCAGCATTCCGCGGTAGAGCCGACCTATCCATACTACAAATATATTACTAATATAGCTGCAGAATGGCTTTATCCAATCTATTTATAATTATTAGGCTACATATACAAAAACAAATAACTTGCTATTTGCTAAGCCACAGCAAGACATTAAAAATGCTAAATTCAAAAAACTGTAAGATTAGGGCAAGACATAATTTTCAAGTCGGGTGCTGTTTATTTTCAATTCAAATATCAAACTCGACTGAGTTTCCCTTAATTGCCAATTACTCCCTTCGATCCTATTTCTGAGTAACTTTGTAGCGAAAATAAGTTTAAGAAAATTAATTATCAAGTAAGTATAAAAACAATTAAGTAAATACCGAAATACCGAATATGTATAAAATAAAGTGCTTAAAAACTTTTTACTTTCAATGGCAACATATAATAACATTGTAATTTTTTGTAGAGTTTAAATATAATGGGTCTCTAGAAAAAGAATGGTAGAAAAGTCTTGTTTTGTTTTATTTATAGCAATACTTTTCATGCATATATTATTCACAAAAATGTTATGTTTTGTTATATTAAGTGTTTAAAGAAATCTTACAATAAAATACAGTATCATTCATTTTTCCCAACTCTGTTAATACTCGTATCTACAACAACACACATTTTTTTATAGAATATGTAAGGGTGACGAACGAGCACACAGTCCACCTGATGGTAAGTCCATACTGTGGCCCATAGACACATCTACATTTATTATCGATTAAGAAACAAAATGCAGACGCGATTCGTGCTTCAACTATAATACAGCTGTACTGTGGCCATACCACGAATAAAAGCACTGTCTTAGGATAATTCACGTTTATTAGCATAACATATATGATAATCTGACTGCCCCGTTCTCTTAGTAGGCTTATGATCTTGTGAGAGTGACT